TACGTTCTTCTCTCTCTCTCTCTCTCTCTCTCTCTCTCTCTCTCTCTCTCTCTCTCTCTCTCTCTCTCTCTGTCTGTCTATCTAAAACTTTCGCGGTTGCGAGTGCAACATACAAGCTTTATCCGCGGTTCCGCCTAGTCACGAAGACACATACACCTTACGGGGTGGCACACACGTGGGCACATATCGTCTCCATGTGATATCGTAGTCGAGCACCCTTGATCGCATGCCGTGCCGTTGGCAATGCACTTCCTATTGTAAGTAGCGGCCCGTTCAAGCATCGAACCGCGATAGAGCGGCCTCTTTTCCACCTTGGTGGCGTTGCGAATATTAAGGTCAACGCGAACGATCGGCCGGGAAGGCAATGGACCGATTTTCCGTATAATTTCACACGATAATACCGCGACGTGGAGTCGCGATTGTCTAACATGCTTGTGCGAATTTTCGAAAGCACTCATGCTTTCAAATTGCCTATTAGCGAGCTACACGATCATTACAAAGTTCATTTCCTATTCAATGAATAGAATATTTAACGACCGAATCACAATAAAAATCACAATAAAAAAAAAATCTACTTTTCAGATATACTGATCGAGAAAAATTGTAAATAATAACAACGTAATTAAACTATTAAGGCTTTGTTGTGATGTCGAGATATATTCGTCCGAAAAAAAAATACAGATATTCTTGTGCTTCCCGCATGATTTCGCTACAGTGAAACAATTTAACAAAATGTTTTACTTCTGAATAGGTTAAATTTCAAATTAATCAAACGACATAACATTCAACCATTAATATGAAATTTAATTATGTATTTGAACACAAACCGGTTACTAATACTACCGTCGGATTATCTGAAAACATACAACACGGGAAATATAAAATACCTATTATTTCAATGTTCATATTACAATTTCAAGTTAATTGAATTATCGATACGAAGCGCAAGCGTGAAATAATTGATGAGAATGTACGAGTAACACGAGAAGTATTTTCATTTGTCGATATTAAAAATGCATCTGTATCGTCTCTCCGTAATTCATGCAACCTAATTTCTCGATTATATTTGGATAAGCAGGATAAGAGAGAGATGTCGCGGGACGGATGTTCCCGCGGAGGGTGAGCCGCGTAGAGTTACGACAGCGAAATCTCCCCTCGGGGCGCGACCGGAAAAAGAAGATCACCCCTCGAAGTAGCGACCGATGACAAGTGGCGCGACGAAACTCCGGCGTTGGTGTCGATACAATATGGTTACATTTCCGTCGTGTCCTCCTGGGCCCGCGACGGTCGTACATCCCCTTAAATCCACTTTTACGGTGCCGAGGGACGGCGCGTGAGATCCGTCAAGATGACGGACATCCTTTAAATTCGCTGGAAAAGCTGCGGGGCGGGCCCGGACGACTCCCCGAGGATACCGAATGCGCCTCCGACGAAATGAAATTCTGGTCTGTGCCCTCTCTCGTTCGTTCTCTTCTCGCCCTCCTCTCTCGCCCTCCTCTCTCCCCCTCCCCCCCTTCTCTCTCTCGCCCCGACCGTAAATCGACCGAGATATAGACGACGGGCGCCAATAGATAGGCACACCTACATGCCGAGGTAAATGGAGAAAGCAACCGCTCGTGAGCGAACCACCGCTGCTGAGCGGGACGATCGAGACGTAATTGGCATCGTGCAGGCCAGGAGAGTGGTCGATTCGAGATCCCAATATCGCGCCCTTCTTCCTTAATTGCGCGACGCCGAAATCGGGCGCGCGCCGGGAATAATTGAAATCACACGAGAGCCAAGCCATTCTCGCTGTTTAACTATGTTTATGCGACATCAGGTCCGTTTCCGACGCGAGCGAAACCTATCGCGAATTTTCGTCAGATTTAACGGAAAGTGTGTGTGTGTGT